GAATCATTTCCAGACTTCTCCCCATATTGCCAAACCAGAGCCATTGCAGTAACCCTATTAAACAAAGTATTAGAAGTCATTTCATTAAGCACAAACAACATACTCCCTTGTCCTAATTTATTTTGCACTATTTTTCTTTTCTGTCAGTTCTAACTTGTACGGGTGCGTCTGGTTCAGAGGAGAACATGTTTTCCAATTTTTACATGTTTAGTTGGTCAAAATTTTTGGAAAATGTTATAGGAAAATACGTTCTTGAACTTCGGTAGAACTAGAAGTAGGAAAAACAAGTTCTATGAGTAGCATTCGACACGGATGGTCTCCTCCCCACTCTCCAACAATGGCAAAGTTAGGACTTTTGTTAAGAATGTTCCAAATTGAATATGTACATATAAAAGATAATATTTGACTAATTTTCCGGCAATGTTACCACCCTTTGGTATACCTAGCTCCACCCATGCCCTCCAACACACTTCACCCTCGCCTCCACCCCCACCCCCCCACAGCCCCCACCTCCCCACACCCACCTCTATAGTGTTTGGCTGTTTGCCTTAGATTATATATGAACTTTTTAAAAATGTAATAGTTTTCTGCTTACATACCAAAGTCCAAACACCAGAAAATAAGCAAGAAAACTGTCAGATATCAAACACACCTAAGGGGTCATTTGGTACAAGGGATAATCAGCATTTGGTTAGGGGTATTTAGTCCCGAACTTATTTATTCCAACATTCATACTACAATGACGGCAAAAGTTATCACATATATACCCAATCCATGGAATAACTTTGTCTATCCATCCCCATACCAAAAAAAACCTAAAGTTGCAATCTTTCTGCTACTCATGCTAAATAAATTGAAAAACAAACAAACTAGAACTTAGAAACAATGGTGTATTGCAGAGTAAATACCATTCAACAACACTGGAAACATGAATAGCCCAAGTGGGTAAGGAGAGAGCATTAGAGGGTTCATTAAACTGTAAAGTAGAACCCATTATAGCTATTTCAGAAGCAGATGCTGTAGCAGGTCCCACCATGAATGTGGCCAAAGCAATTCCAGTGACCCCCAAAATTGTAGCTGCATTTTTCAAGCTCTGAGATGAGCTGCATTCAATGGGTGATGAAAATTGACAACTTTGCTTTGCAAAATGGAGAAATTGGGTTCTGTTTGTTTGGGGTAAAAGGGGCAATTTTGGGATAGAAATTAGCGTAGAAACTGCCATAGCTGGTTGTTGGAGTTGCAAGTGGAGAAGAACTGAAGATGGTATAGATAAGTCATAAATCAAAGAAATTGTTAATTTATTTGATAGTGTTATTCTTTGAATTCAAATATTTAGCACCATGGTGGTGCGGACAAAATTGTTTCTCTCTTAATTAAAGACGTTGGTTTCAAGTCTATAAAAAATTGTTGATAATTCTCCTAATTTTTAAATAAGTCCTATGCGAGCGAATTCAAAATAGTCAAGCACAAGTAAAAGAAAAGGTCAAATATTTAAGTATTTGGGAATTATTAGAAAACATGAATATCTATTATAGCAATTTTTTATTTTGTAAACATTATTTAATGAAATTAAGGCATTCATGTATGAAATTGAACAACTTATAAGTACAATCAACTTAAGTTGATTTTCCACGGATTTTTTCAGTATTCGATATTCCAACAAATTCAGAAATGTCATCAATCTTTATCGAAGGAGAAAAAAACAAAAATAATCTCTTCTATTTGTGGTGTTTCAAATACTCAAGTAGTAGATATTTAACAAACTTTAGTTTCTTAGATTTAAATTTTTAAAAAGAGAGTTTCCACATTAGAGTTCGAATTGGGATGGTGAATTGAGATATTTTAGAATTATTATTAAGATTATAATTTTTAAATTAATTATCCTATTTAAGAGGTGAAGTAAAATAATGCATAATTTAATGAAATAAAATGAGATATTTAAAATTAAGTAAATAAATTTATACCTTAAATTAAATAAAAATTCAATCTTAAATTTTATGACTGATATTCCACCTTTTATCTTATGAATCAAACGATATAAAAATTCATTTAATCCAATGCATTCAATATCAATAGTCCCCTCATTTTCCTTGGGTTGGTTTGCCAATTAAGAGAGAGAAAAGGAAATACAAATACAAATATAAATAGACAACTCATTTTGTTGTCATTTATTCTCTTTGTGTTTTTTTACACAATAATAATTTAAAGTGTGTTTGTTATTGCCAGATTATTCCCTTCCAAACATATTCCTTTCCATAATTATCGTCAATAATTCATCCACCTTTTTTTATGTCAAGTATCATTAAATTGAAAAATAAGAATAATAATTCACTCCTTTTTAATTGTACTCCTTATATTTCATAGCCTTAAAAATATAAAAAGATTCTTAAATCTTAACTAGTTTTGAATTAATATATAAAAATATTTGAGTTTTATGATCTAAACCACTAATTAAGATTTTGAATTTAATACTTACTAAATATCATGTAGTTTTATATTAATAAATGAAAAAAGTAAAACAAAAATTAAAATACATAGTAAGATCGACTAAATTAAAAGGATTAATCTAGTCTAAAGTTATAAAAAAAACCATTTACTTAATCGGAAAAAAAGCTTTTATTAGAATGTCTAGATTACCCCTCCCCCCCTATTTTCAAAGTAACATAACAGTACTTTATTACTCTATAATTGATTAATTAATGTATACTTATTAGTGTTACGGAAAATATATTTAATCTTATCAAATTACCTAATTATTCCTCGCTTGTTTAAGCCGTATGCTTTTCTGTCACACTAGCCCACCAAAATTCAGCTCTTTATACGTGTCAACTTCTCATTTGACCTTATAAGATAATAGGCACAATTTCCAGTAAATTCACGCTTATCCAGTTACTAACTCTTACACTTCCTGTGCTTCACACTTAATCAGGAGTCTCAAATTTGAGCCCCGGGTATGAAAAAAATCTTGTTGGGAGCGTCATTCTTAAATGGATCGTGCAGTGCACGATTCAAATTTAATCGAAACTTCAATATAGGCTCCGGACACAGGGTGAAAAACAAAAAAAAAACCTCTTATACTACTCTATCATGACATAATTGTCCATTATTGACTTAGCACACTCCTCAAGAAATTATACAACAAATAATAGGAGTAATATTACTATATTATCCTTTGACTTTATTAAATTTAATGCTTTGAAAAATGTGTTAGATAATGAATAGTAATATTTAATAGCAAGAGAAATGTAAATTATTTTTTGATTTTATAAATTGAACAAGTATTGTTGGACAACAATGTTTAGTATAGTAGACAACTATTGTTGGACGGACTCCCTCCATCTACTTTTATCTGTCATGTTGCGTTTTTTCGAAAGTCAATATGACTAATTTTCAAAGTTAAATTAAATTACCTTAATAAGATATTTTAAACAAAATATTTACATATTCAAAAATTATACGAAAAGTACTATAAATTTAATTTTTTTGGATACCAATATGACAAAAAATACATTATAAAATGTTAGTCAAATTTTTTATAGTTTAACTCTAAAAAAAGAAAATTATGACAATTAAAATTGAATAGAGATTGTAACACTATTTTGCAGTAGTCCGAAGTAGGAAACTCTACACGATCATCCAAGAATATGATATATTGAATATAAATTTTTTTAAAACTAGACGTCTCAATTTTGCGTGTATAGTATGAAAATTCTTAGTACGAAATGCTTCTCTATGATGCATCTTATGGAGTGGCGGAGCTAGGAATTTTAATAAGGGGTTTAAAATCTGAAAAAGTAAACTACGAACTAATCGAAGGGGGTTCGATATCTACTATATATAAAAAAAAAATATTAACCATATATAAATAGTAATATTTTTCGTCGAAGGAGGTTCGAAACCCCTAACTCTATGCTAGCTCCGCCCCTGATCTTATGTATATGATGAATCCAAATAAGTCGATTTGCTATATAAATAACGAACAACAAATAAATAAACATAATATATTTAAAACTCTATACGAAATTCCAGTCGTAGCGGTGACGCCACGACAAAAAGAAAAAATTAAAAAAAAAACAGAAGTCACTTCACCTTTCTTAATGCCCGATGGGCCCACTATTATAAAGCCCAAACCCAAACTTCCCGTTAAGCACACTTGTATCTTTGCTGTCACGCATAAACGATCGAAATTATGCCACGTGTCCTATACCACCGGCTACGCGGCATTACGTTAGATCACACGTGTCAGTATCATTCTCTTATACGACGTCGTTAAGTGTAGCTTAAAGCAAGTGATAATAGCATTTTTAGGATTATACGAATATATTACTAATATTAATAACAAGTTAGTGGGGTCCACCATCAAATAATATTTTTTAAAGTTAAAAAAAAACATGTATCAAACTAATGGAAGTCAAAAAGAAGTAAAGCAAATGACGATCTTGCCCCTTTATGAGTTCATGTGAAATGCCTCAAAGTAGTAAAAAATAGATATTGTTATCAGACAAATAACATGAGGAATTTATTACGTGAGTAAATTTCCATCTCATGTCATGATCGACAAAAGAAACAAATTGCTCATTCTTCTATTAGAGATAGATGTACAAACGATAATTATAAACGTCACAATTCAATGTCTACCTAGTACCTACCATTTAGGTGGCACCAACAAGATTCAATAAGAAACACGGCTGCTCCAATCTGCTACACTACGATCTCATAAAATGAACTTCATTACCTTCTCGCGCGTTATTAAAATAGGAATATATCATATGATCACTGAACTCAAGATTGTCAAAATATAGAAGTTTTGGTTAAGGGTAATATTGTCATTTCCTTGAAAGAACGGGCAAAAGCTGACAATGGAGTAGCAATAGTAATTATTTTTTAAAACAGAATTAAACAAAAATATCGGTTGTTGTAAATTAATAAATAAATAAAAAATCGGTTGATTAAAATAATATATTAAACCCTTTTTATTTTTTTGTGTATTCGTTACTAGTACATTATTGATTGCTTCTCTTCTCATCGACCATTTTCTCTTCTTCATCATCATTCACTCATCACACAGCATCCAATTTATCTGTTTAATCTTTGTATGTAATGTGTCTGTAGACGGAAATGTTCAAAAATCTTCTCAATTCCCCCACTTTTTCGGCTTCTTACCATCTTTATTAGGGCTTAAATTACTTTTTTCCACAAAGGGGTTGAGCTATTCAATACGTTTAACGGTTATTTAGGGGAAAACCCATCTGGGTTTTGGATTTTGATTGGAATTGTAAACAAATTCTTGATTAATTAGGGAAAACCCATCTGGGTTTTTTTGGATTTTTATAATTTGGAATTGGATTGCTGATTTTGTGTGGTGATGACTTTTACTGGGAACGATGAAGAGGAAGGGTTAGTGGTGGTGATGCCAGCGCCGTTGTTGGGGTTGGCGAAGGAAGATCTGAAGGGTGATTATGTGAAATTAGGTGGTGGTGATGATTTGGGGGAGGATAATCGTTTTGTTGCGGGTTGTATGAGTGCTTCGTCTTCTGAGCTTAGCTATGAAGGGAATAGCAGATGTTGGTCTCTTTGGTGGTGGGCTAAGCTGGTACTTGTTCTTATTTTTGTGGGAGTATTGGCTGCTGTGTTTCTCAAATGGGTTGGACCCTTCTTCATGGATAAGGTCTGTTTGAGCAAGATTTTTGTTTTTTCTTGTAAAAAGATGATCTTTTTTTTTGGGAATGTATGTCCAATTAAATTATATAATGTATTTGTTGCATGTGAGGAGGTGGAATTCTTTATAGCTGCTAGTGAATATTTGAGAGAGCACTTCATTTTAGCTTTTTTGCTTGCTCTATAAGTGCATTCATTCATGCTTTTAAGAGATAGGAGATTGATAAATTTGAGTGTGAGTTTATTGATGCTTCAGCAAAACTGGAGATTGTAATGTGTGATAGTCTTTCATCAACAACTAGTCTTTATTCTGTTAAAGGCTCCTGATTTTGGCTTATGGAGGAAGTCTGAGCTACTTAAACCGATCCCATTAGTATATGCTGATTTTGTGAAGTGACTTGGATTTTGAGTACTTACTAAACTTAGTACTTTAGGTGGAAGAGTTGTTGTGAAGCTGCAGCTGAGCTCAATGCTGCTAACTTAATAATTTTAGGAGTCACAGAGTTAACCATTCATTTAGCGTTGGAATGAAATTGACCTGAATAAGATGGGATGCTTATGGAGTACTAAGGGTAGTTTATTAATGGATTGACTGCTAACACCATTCATCATACTATTTTGGTATTTCTATCTGGTGATTCTAATTTTTCCACACATGTTATAATGCAGATCACTATGGTTTTATGATTCTGAATCATATCAATCTCTGACTGTTGTTTTTCATATTTCAGGAGATTATTCCAATACTGAATTGGGAAACCAGGACATTCAGTACTCCAGTACTAGCAGTTCTAGTTTATGCTTCTGTGGCACTATTCCCCACCCTGCTTTTACCGTCCACTCCCTCCATGTGGGTAGCTGGGATGACGTTCGGATATGGTTTTGGTTTTCTACTAATCATTGCAGCAGTTCCTATCGGTGTATCTCTTCCTTATTTCATAGGTCATCTTTTCCATCACAAAATCCAAGTATGTACTTAATTACTTTTCACCATCTGATTGCACTGTTCATTTTGATTATTGACTTAAATAAATAAACACTCTTTCTGTTTTCTCCTGTAGAGCTTGATAGAAAGAAATCCCAAGAATGCTTCTGTTATAAGACTAGCTGGTGAAGGGAATTGGTTTAATCAGGCCCGAGCTGTCACATTAATCAGGATTTCCCCTTTCCCGTACATAGTCTTTAATTACTGTGCAATGGCAACCGGTGTCAAGTACGGTCCTTATTTGCTGGGGACACTCATTGGCATGGTTCCAGAAATATTTGTTACAATTTACACGTAAGAATTCTCTTTCGTTTCTTGTGTATGAAAATTAACTTGCTGTGTGTATTTCTTGTGACAGCAATATCTGTTGATGAATTACCTATTAGGGGTGGGCAGTTCCTGCTCTCCATTCCTCTATGTCTGCATCCCTCCCTCTCCTCAAACCTCTGGTTTCTAAAGATTATAATGCAACCTTTGTGGGATTACACTCTACCCTCCTCCAGCCGCACTTGCACTGTGTATGTTGTTGTTGTTGTGGGTGCACTAAAAAAGATAAGGGATAATAATCTACTTCTCAGTGAGTAAAAATCTTCTCTATTCCATCAAAAGCTATCATATTTCTCCCCATGGTCCACTTAAGTGCCATGAGAGCAACATCCCACATCCTACAGATTTCTTCCATCTTTTAATTAACCATCTGAACATGGCTTCTTTAACCGTGCCTGGCATTATGACTCGACCAAACCCTAACAGTGTTTCCATCAGAAGCGAGACACTATCCAGCAATCTAGAAGTAGGTGGTTCATATCTTCTCCCGAGCTTTTAAACCTGATGCACCAACTGACGTGTAATCTTCCTCTTTTTCAAATTCTCAGCCGTTAATATCATCTTCTCACAACTAGCCGATTCGGAAAGGGATAATATGTATGTGGGTATAAAGGTTAATTGTTCTTCTCCAAGTTATGTTATGATCCTGGTTAATGTTTGATTTTTTTTGAAGTACAAAAGCAATTTGGTTAATGTTTCAGCATAACTTTGTTCAATGCTGGTGGAAAAGTTCTTTAGCTCTCCTTTCCTCTTTTCCCCTTGCCATGCTTCTGGTTGCCTATAATTTTGAACTTAGATGCACAACCTGACATTTTTTTCCGAACTTAGTTAAATATGCTCTCTATAAGTGAAGGTCATTGCAGGATATTTGAGAAACCTTATTCTCAAATGCAGAAAAAGCTATTTTTTATTGCTTCCTTGTCCTATTATATTATCTCTGTTTTGGGGGGACTCAGTATTGTGCAATGCTACACTAAGATTTCATTCTTTCAGCTAAGTAACTGTCATGCTCTTGCTGTTGTATTTCTCTGACACAGAATTAACTAATTGTGGACAATATTTAAACTTTTATGTATCAAACATGAACAAAATAGGTTTAAGCTCACCTGGAGACAAGCATAAATCATTAAGTTATATCTCAAGAAAAGTTATTGTGGAATTCAACTTGATAGTAAAATATAGTATAGTAATAAGATTTGTGCTTCGTGGCCGAAGCTAAAGTTTATACGTTTAATTTAAACACTTGATAGTGTTTTCAAAACCCATAAAACTCTTCACCAATAGTTATATGAAAGGAGTCGAGGACTCGCATTAACAATAATGGTTCTTCATTTCAACTATTATATTTGCACTAGTTACATACTTAAAGTAGGAAGGCAAAGAAGTAACTTGTGACTCGGAATCATTTGGCTTACCTATTCTATTAAATAACGAAGAATTTCTGCTTTTACTTGTTAATTTCTTTCAAGATAATTGTAGTCCACGATTACGTGCTTTTAGGAAGAAAAAGAACAGCAATCGATTTGTGTCTTCTTCTGATTTTTCTTATTTATGGTTGTTGATTCTATTTCCATAAATTGCACAAGTTTTATTGCCTTCAATGTTTAGTACTCTGCTTGTCTGTGATTATTTGGGTTTTGGTTCCTTTTGCACTGTTGTTTTGGAGGACCGTTGTGGCAGGAGTGCCATTGGATCGGAAGGGTTCCATGGTTCATTCTCCGGGGAGAATGCAAACTGAACACAAAGCAAGCTTTTTCCTAGTGTTAGGAGGGTTTCATTTGGTGTATGCTGCCTGCCAGATTCTGACAGATGTTTACTTTTCATTATTAAAACTTCCTCTCGTCTGGTTTTATTCTATTAAAATAGTGTCCTGTTTACTGATTAAGAAAACTTCAACTTGCTGAATACCTTTACTTCCAACTTTCTCTGCAGTGGCATCCTGATAAAGACTCTTGCAAATGCCTCGCAAGAGCAACGTTTTTTATCAGCTCCACAGATCATTCTTAATGTTCTTGGATTTAGTTTCACGTTTGTTACAACGGTGCTGATCACTGTATATGCAAAAAGGCGGCTCAAGGAACTACAGAGAGATGAGGAGCTGTTGCTACAGTGAGTTTCTGCTTTGTTATTTGTGTCTGGACAGGTGAAAGAAACGAAGTAAAGGGATCTCAGAGATTCTTTAATGACCGAGAAGGTCATTTGCATCCATCGAGAATCTTTATCGCTGTATAGGATATTATCTGCACATCACCTTATAGCGGAGATCAATCGACAATCATTTGTCACTTTGGTTTTATTTACTGCACAGATCGCGCACCACTGCAAGGATGGTTCAAAAGCAGGAGACGAACATACCTGACATACACAGAGGGAGCAATCACTGCACTCATTCAAGGGTTTTGTCTCATATTGTTGAGACCATGATTGTACATAATTGAATAACCCAATTATGGGTAAAACTGAATTAGGTCCGAGTATTTGAAGAGTGAGTGCTTGAGAGTGACAGACATATATATATGCTTTGATTAAACATTGCTACTTTCTGTAGATAATGAGGAAAGTTTTGGTCTTACCACCTTGTTTACTTGCAGCATATAGTTGTACTATTTGTTAAGACTAGAATTAGTGGCTTTCTATGTTAAACCATTTTCAACTCTTTTAAGTGTTTAGTGAAAATGCATATTTTTATTCAACTGCATCTTGTTTTAACTTTAATTCTAAATCTAATTCTCTCACTGATACTTGAAAGAGTTGAAAACAAATAGTAAAATTTATGAAGGAGCATATGTTTGGATTAATAGAATTTCCAGAGTTCGAATTGGTTGAAGTTGAATATAAAATATGCATCATCAACCAAAACAAGAAAATTACACTAAAGTTATCAGAAAATTAGATTTTAGGACACTTGTTTAAGTTCATAAAGGGATTGATGGACCTATTCAAGCGGCAAACTGAGTTCTCTCTCTTTTGAAATTATTCGCGGAGGGAGCTACACCATGTATATATTTTTTTTACATATTGAGAGGTTACGCTCTCGCTCACTATAACACCTACAGTCCTTCACGATGTATCTGTATTACAATCAGCAAGTCACATTTCAGATCATGGTGCACCTAGAATTTCGTAGAAAGTCACATTTCTAACCACGGTGAACTTAATATTCCATGTTTCTTATGGGCTTAAGCAAAATTATTGATGAATGAGCTACAACATGTATACTTTTCTTTTTTTTACATAGTGAGGTTTTACCCTCTAACTCACTATAACACCCTTTCACAATGTACCTGTATTACAATCAGAAATCACGGTGCACCTAGAATTCCGTGTTTCTTATGGGCTTAAGCGAGTTCGACCCTTGTTATGAGTTGGATTGGCTTAAGCCCAACTAATATTATATAGGCCAAACTTGCTTAAGCCCATATTACATGAAAAAAGGCTAAGGTAACGTAACGCTGTCGTTTCTTATCATCTTCTCAACCAGAAGGTCCAGTTTTCAACCCATTTTCTCAAATTGGAGCTGAGTTTTACGGCAAAAATGGCTGTTCAAGCTCTCTCCACAGTGGCAGCAACTTCTAAGAGCATCAACCAGCTGAATTGCAGAGGACCCGATTCGTTTCTCTGGACCAAAAACCCATTGGAACCGAAAAATCCGCAGTGTCAATGGCTTGGTACTCCAATCAAATTCTCTCTTCAGTCCAAGAATTTTAAACAATTTCTTTCAAAACAGTGCACCATTAGAGCAAATGTCTCCTTCGTCCTTCCCCGTGGGTCAGTTCTCACACTTGCCCCTTATTTATCCTTGCAGTTTTATCCATTTTTAAAGTGTTTTTTATGGACCCGAATGGATATAGAGAACTCATATAGCTGATCCCAATTGTTTTGGGCTTGATTGATTGTATTATTTCTGGGTTAATCGAAATTTTTGCTTCTAAGCTATAAAGATGACAGCTTTGTTTCATTTTGTTATTGCAGGAAGCCGGAGCCTACAGTACCTATAGACAAAATTCCTAAGTGAGTGTTTTTCTTTTATTTCTTGTTTTATTTGTTTTGTTGCACAAGAAAAGGAGGAGGAGAGTTTTGGGATATTTGTTGTTGTTCATTAGTTGGTATTTCAATGTGTTTTGAGGTATCTTTGATTGGGTGAGTGAAATTTTAGATGGTCGGCGAAGGCGGTAAAATCATTTACCATGGCTGAACTGGAAGCAAGAAAATTTAAATATGCTACTACTGGAACAGAAGCTCTTATCCTGGGGATGTTGATTGAAGGTTTGTTGTTTCTTTCACTTTGCTAAGAAATTTTTTGTTGTTTTTGGTAGATATATATGTTTGATCCTGCAAACGTGATGGAACTCTTACTGCTTTGTTACTCGTGATGCTAATAACTTAAACTAGCATTTGAATAAACAATAGACAGATGATAATTTCTTGGTGCGAGCATTCTTTAATGTAAGAATGTGGCTTAACAATGGAGTTTTTGCTAGAGATATTAATGAGAAGAGTTGTTTAACGTTTTGCATATATAGAACACATCTTTACTCTTGTCAAATCTGAAAACTTACTGAACTTACCCAACATAATGTAGTTACCAAAGCCATTTTACATTGCTACTAAAACATTGTTATATGTACATAGTTTTTCAATACGTGAAAGAATTAGGTTAGGGTGAGAGGCTCTTGGGTTGAACTATATGTGCTGTGGCTGGCTTCTGATGTTAGTTGCTCTTTAGAGGACCCTAAAGTAAATTGACTGGTATATGAAACAGTAGTTGCAACTTCATTGGAAAGAATTTTTCTACACTTCAGTTTATGTTTGGAACAACGTGGCACACAAAAGTCGGTACACAACACTTGTAAGTTGATGGGAAATGTCATTCTGTCGACTTTAGCTTATGTGTATTAGGAACTCTCTGCACGAAGAACATCATTTCGATATATAGACAAAAACAACTGTTAGAGATTTTGACTGCATATCTGTATTATTTGAGAGATAAAAGAAGAAAAAAAGATAGTTTACTTTTAGAACAGGTCATTCAATAGTATGTTGGCATACTAAAGACCTTGTATGTAGATTCTGTTTATATCTCTAACTTACACTTCCCCCGTGATTTAAGCTGCTTTAATCATTTTGGTGAAATAGCTTGCATGAATACTGGTTCTGCTACTTGAAGTAAGTCATGTTAGAGCATTTATTTCATTCCTACATCGCAGGGACGAATTTTGCTTCAAAATATTTGAGGGCAAACAGTATTACTCTCTTGAAATTTCGTGAAGAAACTATCAAAATAGTTGGAAAAGGGGACTTCTACTATTGCAGTCCCAAGGAACCTCCTTTGACTGAAGATGCGCAAAAGGCTCTTGATTGGGCCTTTGATGAAAAACTCAATTCCGGTATGTATATCCCACTCAATTTTACACACACACATGTTGTTGGATTGATGCATCTCTCTGCCGTCACAAGTATCTCTAAAATTCCTGTTTGAACCATGGAAAATATTTAAATGCATCATGCGGAGGAATGATCTTTGACTTCACAAGATCTACCAGCATGAAGGTGCTTGCAGAAGCAAATTTGAAATTCAAGTTCTTGCTTGATTGTACCGGTTTTAGGAGTATAACTGTGTCACTTAGCCAAACATACTATACCTCAAACTTGTCCATACATGGCCGTGGGCCATGGTCATATATGGTCATGTATTGCATCGGTCCAATTAAATTCGGATGGCAACTTCCTCGGCTTGTATGGTTCCTACCTACTTATGTTGTGGCTAACTTGGTCCAAATCCAAAACAGACTTTTTCAGACTACAATCAAGTTAAAGTAATCTAGTATGGTTTTAAAAGCTTGCTCATGAGAGGAAATATTGCCATCAGAGTTTTATCACCTTCTGTTTTGGGATATCTCAAACATGTGTTTGCTTAGATTCTCCAAAAATGATGCCTCACCCGTGTCAGATCCTTCAAAAATGCACTACTTTTGAAGGATCCGACATGCACCTGTCAATATGTTTGGAGAGTCCTAGCAACATAGTCTCAAACAATTCAATTGATATCTCCTCATGCAACTTTCATAGTTTCAATTATTCAAATTCATATAGCTACTCAAAATTTAGATCTATCAACTTAGTTTTCCGATGTTACTTCATATATATATATATATATATATATATATATATATTTTTGGCTGATATATATGTCATTACTATTTGAACCCTGTATAAATCAGATGGTCTCACACATAAAAACGGATTAGTTTTGTGAAGATCTGACCCTTTAGCCTAACTCAATCCAAAAGCTAGCTCACGAGGGGATGTTTTGGATTCTATAATATCTGAATCTCTTTCCAATAATTATTTTAATTAAGCACTTCTTATATGCTTCTCATCTTGATCTCTTGAATAATGTTCCTTTTATCCTCAAAACACCTAGCGTTTCTCTCTCTGGAATAGCAAAGAGATAAAATATGCTACTCATATGGTCAAATTAAACCATGTGATAGAAAACATCATCACTTCAAGATCAACTGGTTTATTTGTTTTGGGGAGAAGAGACTGGAAATGTTCTTGATTATCGGTATTATTGGAAATGCAGGTGACAGTGGGGAGATTACAACTACTCATGTGCTCCTTGGAGTGTGGTCACAACAAGGATCACCAGGTTATAAGGTATTGGCTGCACTGGGCTTTAATGATGAAAAAGCTAAAGAATTGGAGAATGTAATTTCAGATCCTGGATTTGTTGATGATTAAGAGGATGATTTTGCTTTAATGTATTCCTTAAACCTAAACTGAGGTTCCAAATTTGCAATCAGATTAGTCATTTATCGCGATTTTGTTCTTTCTTTTCGTACTAGATTTCTTTCGTTTTTGGAGGATTCATCCTTCTCAGAGGGCTTTGCACATATGATCAAAACCTCTTTGCTGTTTGTTTAATGGGGTGAATGATATTTATTATTAACATTCAAGTCCTTCAATCCTAAATTCCCGCGGGCTAGATTGAGTTGGGTCATTCCACTTGTAGGACTAGTCTCCCGACTTTGTCATTTAGAGCTGATATATCCTTCGTTATGAAAGTCACTCATATATACCTATACAAATGGCTCACATATACCCCTACTATTACAAAAGGAGCTCATATATACTCTTCATCTAACATAAGTGAATAAATTAGTTTTAAATTTATATTTTTGACTTTTACTTAATTTTAAAAATCATCTAGGGTATATCTAATCCTTCTAGAAAAGTTTAAGGTATATTTTAATCTTTTTCATACATAAATTATTTTTTGACTTTTTTGATTATCATTATTTGAGTTTCTTATTCTTATTTTATTTTTTCTTTCATTCTTTAGTATAAAGAAAAAAAATTTAAAACTAATTTTTTTTGTGGTCATATTAGAATTTAGTTTTTGTATTTGTAAAATAAAATAAAATTGAGGCATCTATAATAAATTTTACAAGAAAATTAGTGAAACATAAATAAATTTGACCATCAAAATAATAAATCTAAATTAGTTGTTGAAACAAAAAAAGTAAAAAAAGAACGTGTGAGGAGGATCAAAAATATCCCATATGGATTATATTTTAAAAAAAATAAATTAATTTTTTTTTTTCACTTCCGTTAGAGGAAAAGAGTATATGTGAGTCATTTGTATAATAGTAGGGATATATATGAGTCACTTTCATAACGAGAAGTATATCAACTTTAAATAGCAAAGTTGAGGGGTATTTCAGCTCCTCTATCCTTTGGAAGCAATTTGATCCTTCTATAAACAAGATATTAATTACTCTTTTCCAAATCGTGCAGACTCCATTACACATTCGAGTATATATATTTAGTGATTCGAAGGTTTCTTTTATAAGTTTCAATAATAAGAATTTTGTTTAATTTAATACAAATATAAGAAGAATTGTCTATTTTGTACACTATTTTCTCATGGTTTCTTGGGCTACTAGTAAGTTACAAATAGAATTCAAGATTTGTAAGCAATGAAGTGGGCCGTCTTGAATAGAATAGGGACAGAATGAACATTGCGCCCTATGTGGAGAGAAATCGAATAAAATTCATAAATAGCCACTTTTCAAGTTATCGTAATTAAAATATAGCTACTCGTAGAGTTTCACCTCTTTAAAATTCCAAAAATTAATGGTTATTTTTCAAAAAAAAATAATCCAAGAAGTGGTTATTTCTACTAAGTCAAAATGATGGGAATAAATGAGTTTGTCCATTTTGAGCTAAAAATAACTAACAAATTCAATGTTGCTATACACCCAACTAACTGCAAAACTAAGGAAGATAAATAGTTAACTGCAAAATACCCAACAATTTTTGTAGCATTTACTGTTACAATTTATTGTTGCAACAAGAAGATCCACTTCCAAATTTATTGTTCCTCAAATAGTAAGTCTCTAAGTTGGTCAAGTTTTTTACTCCCTCCGTCCCTATTTACTTGTCAAATACTTCATTTGTCCCTAATTACTTGTTCACTTTTTCTTTTATAGTTGTCCCTAATTACTTTTTCATTTTGACAAATCAAGAAAAAACAATTCTTTTTTACCTATTATACCCTTAATTAAATGACTAATTACTTTGAAAAATGTAGAACTTTTCATCCATTTCATAATTAATAGGGATAAATTGGTAAACTCACTATGTCATTAATTATTTTCTTAATAAGTGTGTCAATTCAAAAGTGGACAAGTAATTAGGGATAGAGGGAGTATATTCTAATTTGATTTCCCTTTTTACCTGTCATTTTTTACAAATAAAGGAAGGACAAGTAAATAGGGACGGAGGGAGTACTTTGGCCTACCATTGTGATCAAAGGATTTCTTTTTATCAATTACTCATTTATTTCATATTACTTGATACATTTCTATATATAAAAAAATTAATTATAGATGTATATAACCTTATATATACAATATGTTTTTTTCAATAAAGGTTATTCAACGAACTCCTCGCTTATCTTTGAAGACATCAGATAAAATCAGAATGATACTGGGAAAAAAAAAAGTAATAGAGTAAGGCTTAGAAGATTATATTCAAACTTTAAATGCAAGTGCAAGCCCCACATAACTTTAAAAAATCTATTAACAAAGTATCAAAGTAATATTGTCAGAACAATACGTTTTGGTTATTGGTTGAAGCTTTCAAAGGCAACCAATATTTCATACTAGTTATTATCTTATGCTACTATTTTTTCAATATTATTAAATAGCATGACTTGATGGTAAGAAATCAATCGAACACACTTGTAACGTAGACCCCCCCTAGAAGTCATTTAGCCAGTAATGCATCGAAACATCATGTCTGAAAATTTCTCATTTGTGATGATGTAAAAAAAAAATTCAATGTAGAATAGCTGTACATGAATATATATCAACCTATTTGGTGGGAGTTTGTCATGGTAAAAAAAATTATGTTGTACCCCACTAAAGATTGGACCATCACATCTCCAAGATTTATTGTAAATTATTTATTCTACTAAGTAAATTAAAATTCAACATATAAATCTAACCAAACTGATTTGCTTTTTATTTTTATTTTTTATAAATGTTTACTTATGTTCAGACCAATAAAGTTAGGGCTCATTTCTTGAATTTGGGGACATATAAATCTTAACATGTGCTACCACCTATCATGTCTAATTTTTTTTAGCCCCATGGCTAAACAATATTGTTATTACATCTTACGTGTATTCGATGTTTCTATTAAACAAATTAAGACGTGTATGATTTTATAACACTTTTTATTTATCTTTAATTCAATTTTTTTTAAATAGTACATATCAACTTAATAGGAGTCGAGTATTATGAAATATGACAATTTCTCTAAAATGAAAGGCTTTATTTTTTCCACGAATTAATGAGCCATAATTAACCAACCCATCCAAAAAAAAAAAAATACGTTATTCCTGCCCTATTAATTTTTCCATTAATAATATTATTCATAAATATTTATCACTGTTCATAAAAGATTCAGCTACAATATGTAGACTGAAGTAAATTGGCTATAATTAAATTTCTCTTTAAATATATTTTTTTAGAGGCAAAAAAGAACACTACTTGGCAATGAACTCACCACACGAGCAACTCAATCGCGGGATGAATTCAGAATTTGAAGAAAATGAATATACTACGACAAAAAGTTAAATTTGGTCGGGTTCTTATTATTAAACACATTGCATGAGATTATATCTTATCTTTTCTTTTTTTTTGAAAATTTTAGTAATTCTATATATCTATATTACGTATCGGAAAATTGACATCGATTGAATCAGAGGCGTATCCAAGGAGGGGTCATCGGGTTCACGTGAACCCATGCTTCCCTTCCGAGATCATAAATAGTAGTTTTATATTTCTTAAAAATATTGAAGCATAGATGTGCGAACCCACACTCGGAGTATCATATAATGCGATGATGACTAGGTGCACCTCTCTACGTGAGGTTAGAAATTTAAATTTTATATTCATCTTGTTCATTTTTCTTTCTAAAATTAGATAACTAAAATGGTTGTTGGTAACACTTTTGATATTTTAATCAATTTTGAACCTATAATATTAAAATTTTAACGGGTTTCATAATAAGAACCTAAATATCGAACCGATCAAATTTATATGATCAATATTTTTATAATGATGCACCCATTATTTCAAAATCCTGGATAGTCTCCGAATTAAATCCATATTAATCCTCAGCTACTGAAAAGTTACAGTGCTACCAACACTAACTAACAGCAAACTTATTCATATGCATTGAAGTTTAATTTATTGAGCTTTTAATTCCTTCTTTGAAAGCAGAAAAAATTGGACAACTTATATATTAAGAAGGAAAAAAAAAATTGGTCACAAAATTTTATCAGAATAATATTTTTTCTATATTATTTTAATTTTCTTAACATTTTTATCCTTTTAACTTAAATACATTTTAACTAAAAAATGAAAAAAAAGATCAATTTATTTAAAATAAAAAAAATATTATAATTTTTTTAATTTTCTGACCATATTTTCTGATTTTGTCATTTATGAATTGTTAAGTTATATAAAATTTATGTCGGTCTTAATTTGGAAGGTGACAACTTTCCTGAAACGAAAAATTGATTTCGCCACGATATATATATACTTCATTTGTCTCAAAATAAGTATAGGTTAATATAGTGATTAGTTTTTAAGAAATATCCACAAAGTAATAAATAAAGATCATAATTTGATAAATTATACCTTACATTTATCATTTTTCTTAATAAGCGTAAAATAAACTAAAAGGACATTTATTTATTATTTTTTATATGAGGGAGTAGAAGATGAGTCAATTATTAATTGAGCTACCGCCCTATATTTTTCCCCATTAATTACTAGAGTTGCAAAACTTACCGTCATATTTATTATGATTTATAGCCACGTGATTTAAATTGGTTTTTCAATTCTCAATAAAGTCTTATTGGAGGTTTGTTAGTCTTACGTATAGTATATTTTTGGCAAATTCATCTTTTTTCAGAGAGTATTAGATTAGTCAGCCTGAAACTTTAATTAACTATTGGTCGAGGCCGATATACTTAAGTTGACTCGAATATTATATTATAAAAAATATTATAACTATTAATATGGACACCTACTATTTTGGGGGTAATTCAAAAATAATTATTTTTCTGACTTGTAATTAAAAAAGTATCCGCAGATTCAAAATTCATTGAAAAATATGTATATTTAAATTTTGAAATCCTTGACATGTCATGAATGTAAAAAAAATCATGAAAATATTTTGGGGTTTTCACTTGTTTAAGGATGAAATCGTCATGTTATTTTTGCATAAAAATTGCTACATAATT